AGAGAGAGAGAGAGAGAGAGACCGACCCAGAGCATCTCCTACTCACCACATGTCCGTGGCTGTGCTCAGGGCCTCGTAGTGGACCACTTCAGGAGCTGAAGAAAGAGAGAAAGAGAGAGAGAAAGAGACGTGGGTGGTGAGCGGGGGGCGAGGGGGGGGCAGGGAGACATGCAAGGGTCTGGGCACAGAAAGGGAGGGAGAGCAGAGTCCTCCCAAGGAGGGGAAGGAGAGGGGGGAGCCACCCAGACCCAGAGGGTGCCTGCTGCCCCCCCCTCTCTCTCTCTCTCTTGGGCTGCTTAATTCTGAAAGTGGCCTCTGAAGAGAACAGGCGGGGGCCACGGCAATGCTGGCTGGGGGGGGGCAGGGGCTGGGATGTGCCCTCTGAAAAAGGACCTTCTCCCTTCCTCCTGCTGGTCCCGTGTCTACGTGGACTGCCGCCACGCTCTCCCCCACCCGGCCCGGAGGAAAGGAGGGCCCCCACCTGCTTACCAATGTACTGAGGGGTCCCACACAAACTTTTGAACGTGACCCCCTCCTCGAGTTTCTGTGCCAGGCCGAAGTCGATGATCTTGATGGTGGGGTGGGGGACGTCCTTCTGGAACAGCATGATGTTCTCGGGCTGAAGCCCAGAAATGTCCCCCCCCCCAACAGGCACTCTTGGGACTGCCAGAAAGCAGCGCATGCACTGGGGCATCTGCCCCCCCCCACCAGAAGAGCCACAGGAGGGAACTGCCAGCCTTCACTAACTCTGAGTTTTGAAAAACTTTCCCAATAAAAGGGAAAGCGGCAAGCAAGTCATGTTTTTTGGGGGGGCACAACAAGCAAGGTGCAGGCCGGGCAGGGCTGAGCCCCTCCTCCCGGGAATCCGGGAGGTCTCTTATGGACTAGTACCTTGAGGTCGAAGTGAGCAATGCGGCAGGAGTGCATGTACGAGACGCCCAGCAAAATCTGCTTCAGGAACGGAACGGCTTCTTCCTCCGTCAGCGTCTCCTTCTCCGCAATGAAGTCAAACAGCTCGCCCCCGTGGATGCTACGCCGCCGGGGAAGAGGCGGGGAGGTGAGGATGAATGGGGGCAGCTGGCCCAAGAGAACAGTTGCCCCCCCCAGAAGACCTCCAGGCCACCAAATGGCATCCCCCAAACCCCCAGAGACCCTTCTTCCCCGTGGTTCAGATCAGGAGGCCTTGGGGGTTCCCGGCTCCTGGCCTGAGCGGTCACAGGATCTGGACACCCGCGTCCTTCGCTTCCTTCCAACCTGGCTGTGGTTTCCACCCCTTCCCTTTCCATCCCGCCTTCAGATTCAGGATCCTTTCCCCCCCCCTCCCGTGATTGCGCTGGTTCACCACCGCCCCATATCTGGCTGCCACGACAGGTGGATGTGGGAGGCCAGCAAAAGTGAACACAGTCCGTGGCAGGGGGCCACAGGCAGGGCACTCACAGCTCCAGGATCAGGACCATCTCGGCGGTGCTGGCGAAGAGGTCGTGGAGGCGCATGATGTTCGGGTGGCGCAGCTGCCGCAGGATCCCGACCTCCCGCTCCACCTGCTGGCGGTCCAGGCCCAGCCGGCTGCCTTTCCGGCGGCGCACCTTCACCGACTTGGCAGCATAGAAAGCGCCCGTGCTCCGCTCCTGGCAGCGCCTCACCACCCCAAAGTGCCCGCTGGCATCGGGGAGGGATGCGGGGCGGGAAGAGGGAGGAAAAGAAGGCTGGGGGTCGGCCGGAGAGAGAAACCACCCCACTCCTCCTCCTGGCAGTGAGAACCTGGCCACCGCCCTGCGAGGGGGCCCGCCCCCCCCAAGTCCTCTGCTCTCACGGAAAGCCCTCCCCCCCACAGGAGAGGAGGGGTGCACAGCCGCCCCCCCCACCTTCCCCAGCCACAGACAGGGAGGGAAGCAAACGGCGCCTCCCAGCCCCTCCTGAGAGCAGCCGCCCGCTTGCTTGCCCGACTCCCAGCTGTCCCACAGAATCCTCATCTCCACCTCTTGTAACAGTGAGTTCCACAGTTTAACTTGGCACTTGTCTAAGTCCTTCCTTTTTGCTCTGCCCGGCATCTCCCCACCATTCAGCTCCCCTGGATGGCCCCACAGCAACGCAGGATGTCCCCCCCACAGAACTCCTCCACCCTGGGAAGCGTCTTCGTTCCTCCTCCCAGGCGTATTACTACCCCTCAGCCTCCCCTAACCCTGAACCCTTTCCCCCTCGGCTGCCCCCTGTCCTTCCGAAGAAGCCGTGCCAGGCCCCAGAGGGCCCTTCCTCGCCCCCCCCCAGAGAGGGGGAAGGCCTTGGCTTGGCTATTCCATGTGGGGCCACGTCTGGGGTCGGTTGCAGGCCAGGCCCTCCGGAGGACAAGGGGGCTCTCGCTGGCCTGGGGGGGGGAGGGTGCAGCAGAGGGATAGTGGCAGTTGCTTGCCGGACCCAGAAAACCGCTTGTGCCTCCAGCAAAGGAAACCACAAAGGATCCCACGGGCCATCTACTCCGGTTCCCATCATTCCCTGTATCCCAGGACTTGGACTACTTGCCCAACAGCTGTGTGTGGGAGGGAGGGACAGCCTGTGATCATCATTCTGCCCCCACACCGGCTCCCCCAGGACTCTCCCTTTCCCGCCAGCCCTTCCCCCCCCCGCCTGGGTCATCCCTCCCTTCGGCCCCCTCACCTGCCCAGCTGCTCCAGCAGCTCATACAGCTCCTCCACGCTGCTGCTCAGAGGGATCGGGGCCGGGCGGGGCTTGGGCCCAGGGCCGTCCTTGCTGCTGGGGACAAACACCTCATCCTCCCCGTCCTCCTCCTGCAGAGAGAAGAGAGGCAGCGGGGTGGGGGGGGTGGAGGTGGAGGGCAGCTGTTGACTCCCACCCCCTTGTCCCCTCCCTCCCCCCTTCCTCCCTGGGAGGCAGCCCCCTCCAGCACCACGAGGGGGGGCGGGAGAGGGCGGAGGGGAAGGGAGCAAGGGAGAGCAGCCCCAGCCCCCCCCCCCAGGGACTCAAGCAGAGGCCAAGCCTTTCCCAAAGGGTGGTGATGATGATGATGAGGAGGAGGAGGAAGGTTGGGACCTTGGCCTCGCCCATCCCTCTTCCAAGAACGCTGGAGGGGCCCTCCAGAGTGGGAAGGTGGGGGGGGCGTGTGTGTGGCCCCCCTCCCTCTTGGCTCCTTACCTGGGGGTCTCCTGGGGGACTCTCGCCGGCCTCCTTGCTGGTGGGCAGCTTGATCCCCCCCTCTTGGGCCATTGGCTGCAAAACAGACGGGGGGGCCATGGGCTTGGAGGGGGGGCAGACCTCCCTGGTGGAGCCCCCAGCGTGGCCTCCCACCCCCTTTTGGCCCTCGGAGGCCCTTGCTTTTCCTCCCCTGCAGGCGAACCCAGCTCAGAGGCGGCCACAGGAGCCCCTCCTTCTCCCCGGCTCCACCCA